TTTGGCTCTTGAGTTTATTAGTGGAATATTGGCTACCTGTCTCTGCTTCCAAGGTGAGTCATGGAAGTTTTTGTACCCAGAAGCGATACTGAAATATTCTTGGGCTTATTTCTCTTCTAGGAGATATTTGGGGTCAAAGAATTTCTTCCTCAGAATGTAATTCTGAAGTGGCTGGGGACCCATATTTGCACCCATGTTATTCTGAAGGAGCTATGTGGAAATGTCCTTTTCATTCTGTGTGGATTTAATGAGAGAAATTTAAATATGGTTTGTATATTTATAGTACTTCCTTTCATCTTTCAGTGGTTTTGTCTGTGAACATATTTGTGTTGGGTGATGTCAGAAAGGGAGGAAAGACCTCATTAGCACTCTAAAGGGTCACTTACGGGTCATCAGCTTTGACCTATAACACCATTTTCTGCTAAAACAGAGCAGGCAGTTGTCCGCTTCCTACATTGTGATTATATAGAAACTATTTAAAGAGAAGATCTGTCACAATTTAATTCACAACATTTATATGTATTTTAATGATTTGTTTCTTTTTTAAAATTGTGTTTTTGAATTTGCAATGCCCATTTGTATAAATATAATACCTATGTATTGTAGAAACACACAAACCAATATATTTGTGTGTATATATTTAAATTTGTTTATCTTTTGAAATATAAACCCTTGGCCAGCAATATTCTGGTATTTCTAAGCATATTTATAGTTTTTAATGTTTTATTATGAGAACAGATATTAAAATTCTGGAATGAAGGCTCTGGGGAATGTTTTTTAAATGATACTAATTTTTCTAATGATAAAACAAGGAATTACTATTATGTAAAATTTTGGAAATTCAGCCCTGCAGCTCCACGGTCCTTCATACGTGTTGTGCATGTGCGGCTGTGCATGTTTTCACAGGACATGTTTGTGGTCAAGGAATTCCCCAGTGCCCTTGTTCTCTTATGTTTGAGATGATGGCTCTGTAGTTTTTAATGCTTTGAAGGGAAAAATACGCTTATTACTGATGTTCCCTTAATACTATTTCCATTCTCATTTTAACATATTTATTTTGCAGTCTAGAGTGGATGTGTATACGTCACATTCTCCTGCCGGAACTTCTGTGCAGAACATGATGCACTGGGGCCAGGTAGGCAGTCCAGGTGTGCAGTTGGGGGATGGTGTAAGTCAGTGTTCAGAAGGTCTGCATTCCACGAAGCTACCCTCTGCACACTCTTCCTAAATGGAAAGACAGTCTGCTTGCACATCTAAGCTGGTTTCTTTTCCAGAGTTCCTGTCATTGTACTTGTGCTCCTTTTGCTATCCTCTGCAGGGTATACTGTGCCGTGCCATGTGGTCACCAAACAGCTGTTGGGGTTGACTTTTCTTCCCTTCTGTTCCCTTCCTTTCCTTTCCCTCTTTGGGTCTGAAACTTATTTATTTATTGACTTACTTCCTTCTTCTCTCTCTCCTTCCTTCCTCCTCCACTTCTATTATTCATTAAATCATAGGCTTATTTTATTTCCATGTTGTTTCATAAAGCATGGTTTTAGAACAGCTTTGGAGATACAAGCTGCTGTTTCAGCATTAAACAGCCTGGTGGTACAATGGTCGAGCACTTGGCTGCTAACCAGAAGTTTGGTGGTTCCAACCTGCCAGTGGCTCTGAGGGAGAAAGGACCTGGCAACCAGAGTAACATGTCTGCTCTGTTGCCAAGATATATTAAAACAAAACAAAACAAAAATTCAGGGTGAAGCAAACCAACATACAATCAACACATTAATACAATAACATTACAATATCTTAGAGACAACAGAAACTTAAAATCACACACAAAAAACAGGACAAGATGGCACAAATAAATAACCAAATCTAGGGCCAGAAAATCTTCCAGAGGAAGAAATGCAATTGAAACTACCTGATAAGGAGTTCAAAAGAATTTTATTTAGGTACCTTCACCAAATTGAGAGAAAGTGGGAGGAAATCACAGACAAAATGAAAACACAGAAAAACTCCAGAAGGATTAAAAAAGGAAGTAAAACAAACTGACAAAATGAATGGAAAATTGGAAATCATGCCAAAACGGCAAATAGGGTCCAGAATATTAATACTAAAATTTCAGAAATAGATAATGCACTGGAAAGACAAAAGAGTAGAATTGAATCAATGGATTCAAGATTGAAATTAGCAAGATTGAAAATAGATCTCTTAACACTAACATTTCAGAGAAACAATCAGAAAAAAGAATGGGGAAAAACAACAACAACAAAGAAAGCCTAAGAATAT